CTGGCCAAAGCGGGCGGGTCCTGATTTCCTGTTTCACCACAACCAACTTCCCTGCCCTGAGGGTAGCAAACTTTGCTCGTGACAGACTACCTCCAAACTTTGCAGAATCGAAGAACTCCACACACACACACACACGCACGCACGCACGCACACACGCAGGCACACACGCACGCACGCACGCACCCACACACACACACACAGACTCTTAGCTGGCTTGCGCACGTGCGTGTCTTAAATGAGACATCCCAGAACATCCTTGCGGCTTCCAAACGCGCCAGCGTCAGTGACCCTTTTGGAGACAAGCTCTGAAAGACTCAGACAGCCGCCCGAGCAAAAACCGGCGACCAGGCGAAGCAAGCTCGCTGGATGGTCTACGTGTTGAACTCTGGCCATAAAACGTACACACCCACACGCGCCATGGTCAAAACTTCTTCCATGGCCTCTGGTCAGAATTCCCTCATAGGACTTGTGGATGACCATCCTGTTAACCCCAAGCAAAGGGGTCTTTTGACAATGGCACACGTGGCCACTGGCAGGTGCTATTCAACCAGACCCGGTCGGATCCAGTGCCAGCGATGCACACTTGAGCACACGCGCGCGCCTTGGCGCGGGGAAACCCAAATGCCAGACTCCCTCAGCTCAATCGTTTGGGGGCCTTGACCAGTGCAGAAAAAACACCTTTAAGATGAACATTGCTAAGTGTGATCCTTCCAAAATAACTGCTCATCCGGACCCTCGCCCACTCTGCCGACATGCTTCTTGCCTTGGGCAAAGCAAAGCATAAGAAAACCGAGCCTCGAGCGGTCGCCGAAGCCTCTAAAAGGACACTGCTTTGTCAACATCTGAGCTTTTCAAAAACTGGGTTGGTCTTAACGTTGGGACACCCAAGAAATGGCGCCGCTGTTCATTTTGGCGTCCCTTTAAAACCGGCCGAAAAGGATCTGCCTAAAACAGGACACACCCATGTGCCGTGATGGACGGGAAAAATCGGTGAGCCCGCCGATTTGTCATTGTGGTTGAAACTGCGCGAGTCTCAATGCCATAGGTGTCCTTTTAGGGCAAATAAATAGCCCTGGTAGATGATTAAACCACCACGTAAACCAGGGCGTCGATTTTTCCACCAAAACAACCAAAAAGGACACCTACGCTCAATGCCTTTTGGGAGGTGGCACAATGCCTTTTGGGAGGTGGCATCCGGAGCTCTGATCATGCAGGCTGGATCAAATTCTGACGGATTGGCCGCAGATCGGCAGAGTCTGTTGGGCGGTGAGGGAGAGAGCTGCCGACTTATCCATCTGCGTCTGATGAAGGCGGACATGCTCGAAATTGCCTCTTTCTTCTTTTCACTCAGGATGACTCAGCTCCTTGGCTGTACCTGCTTCTATCACCGGGGCTATCAGAAACTCCTCACCTTCTTCTGGTGTATCCCTCCAAAAGCCCTGCACAAAAAATGCTGTTTCCGGCCACCGCGGGCCAACAGGAAAGGTTTTTTGAAGGAAGACATAGCTATCCCTGGCCCTGTTTTGCATGTGTGCCATGAATCCATTGCCTTTCTTCCTCGGACGGTCCGAAACTCTAACATGATCATTGAATATCAGGGTCATCCCAGAGCCCCATGTACGCTACCAACGCGATAAATCGAAATGTGGCCATGTGAAAGATCTGAAAGATCGGTTGAGATGGCCTTCAGAAAAGAAAAACAAAGACGCAACATGTGCTGCCAAACCAATAAAACCTCGGTGAAACTGGGTCCGCCCTCTGCAGCCTGAAGTGGTGGCCATGGATGGAAAAGGAATCATTGAAAATCCAGTCGGCCCACCGTCCAAGAATGCCCCATTCTTGGGGGAAGATTGTTGTGATTTTGCCACCTTTGGGGCAAGACCGGCTTGCCTCAGTCCAAACAAATACGATTCGAGGGGTCCTAGCCATGGCCAAGGCGGCCACTCTGTGACTACTTCATCTCTTTCAAGGGGATGCCGGCTTGGTACCACAGAAAGGCCATCCAAAACCAGAATCAAAACTGTCCACGAGCACGTGCACGTCCTTCTTGGGAGAAACTTCGCCACTGGCCAGCTGACCTGTCACCAACAAAAGCAAAAACTTCCAGACCTGTTGCCAAAAAAACAAAAAGGATGTCCCACCAGCATGGCTTCAATCCACACGGCTCCTTCTCCCCCGCCGGATCTCATCTGCAGATCTGCCAAATCTGATCCTCGCCTCGCCGAGCCTCACCGAGCCAACACCTCAACCCGCCCAAAACGGATGGAAACCCACCATCGGCCGTGGAAAACCCATCTTTCCACTCGGCCTGAGGACTCTCAAGTCAGATTGGGCCGAATTCCATTGGATTCTACTTCGTTCGAATTGCCAAACGAAAACTCTGCCATCACTTTGTTTTTTTCTCTCTCTCTCTCTCTCTCTCTCTCGCTCTCTCTTTTAGATCCCAACGTCAGCGGCGCCTAGTCATTGCCAGGGCACGGATTCTCGGAGTCCTTTGGGCTCAGCGCGGCAGAGGCTGATACTCCGAGGACATGCACCACCTCACCGAACCCGCGACCCAGAAAATATTCAGAGCCCCTGCAAGGGAACGGGGGACGGGGGGGGGGGGGCTCCTACAAAACCCCAGTGAGTGGTGGGAGTTCATATCCACACGCACATGATGTCCAACCCCAAGTACCAACAATCGTACCCTAGAACGGTAAGCTGTGAATCATGGGAATGGCCGGTCCCTACTTTAGGACCAGGTCACTTTCAAACCCATGCTGGAGCTCAGACTGGAGCTCCAGCACTGCTGAGCAATACTTGAACTGCCAATGGGAATCCCCAAAAACACGAACTCATGGACTGAGCCGTGTCTTTTTGGAAGAGTCCTTTTTTGAGTCGGAAAGGCAAACCAAAGAAACGCAACGGACTGGGAGAGGCCAATTCAACTCCACGCAGCAGAATTTGGGGGGCCCAAAACATTTTAAAATGGGGCCGCGGGCAACCTAACATTCCGTTCTTGGAACCGCCAAAAGTGGATTCTTCCAAGGGAAACCGCTAGTAATTTGCGACTTTTGAAGGGAAAGTCCAGTGACCCCGGACTATAGTCATGATTATAAGGCAAACTATTGATGACTTCGCCTTTAATAGCTGCCCTTGAACTCATGGGTGAGAAGCCAGGAAAAATAATCATGCCTCTGCAAAGGGGCGAGGCGTGTTCTGGGGGGAGGGGGGGTCCCGAGGCGGATTTTTGACCTCGAACTCTAACCTCTAACCCTAACGTCCAATTTAATCCTAACCTCCAACCCTAACCTCTAACCTTAACCTCTAACCTTCACCTCAAACCCTAACCTCTAACCCTAACCTCTAACCCTAACCTCTAACCCTGGCCACTAACCCGAACCTCTAGCCTTAACCTCAAACCCTTACCTCTAATCCTCACCTCTAACCCTTACCTCTAACCCTAACCTCTAACCCTGATGATGATGAAAACGCTACTGATGATGATGATGATGATGATGATGATGATGATGATGATGATAATGATGATGATGATGATGATGATGATGATGATGATGATAACTGATGGTGATGATGATGATGATGATGGTGATGATGATGATGATGATGATGATGATGATGATGATGATGGCATCACCGGCATCACCATCGCTGATGATCCTGGGAACGCGAGGTTCGCTGGCGGTGCTGCAAGCTGCCTTTTTGGTCTTGGAGCACCAGGAAAATGGGCAGCTTTTGCATCCACAGCTTTGCTGGCATCATACTGGAAGTGTCTTGGGTGGTGGGGGATGCGGGTGCTGCCTTCTTGACAGTCCGGGAAAAAAAGTCCTGGGGGTCGGCGGAACCAGGCGTCAGCCTGCTAAATACATAAATAGACACGGGAATCAGAACAGCCACTAACATACCTTCATGCATACAATCATGCACAAATAAATACATGAATGAATGGAGTGGAATGGAATGGAATGGAATGGAATGGAATGGAATGGAATGGAATGGAATGGAATGGAATGGAATGGAATGGAATGGAATGGAATGGAAAGAAATCGAATGGAACGGAACGGAATGGGATAGGATGGGATGGGATGAATGAATGAATCAATGGATTAGTTGATGGGCAATTGCCTTAACTGAAAACGCATAGCGAAGAAGAACGAAAGAATAAGTAAACAAACGGATACAAATGGTAAACAAGTGGATACAAATGGTAAACCGATAGATAAACACATAGTCAAACAAAAACAAACGAAAACAAAAGAACGGAAACAAACAAGAAGGAAACAAACAAACACACGGGGAAAAAAGAATGAACAAATACATAAAGAAGAGAAAGAAGAGAAAGAAAGAAAGAAAGAAAGAAAGAAAGAAAGAAAGAAAGAAAGAAAGAAAGAAAGAAAGAAAGAAGAGAAAGAAAGAAAGAAAGAAAGAAAGAAAGAAAGAAAGAAAGAAAGAAAGAAAGAAAGAAAGAAGAGAAAGCGAGATAAAGAGAGAGAGAGAGAAAGAGAAAGGAAGAAAGAAAATAGAATGAAATCAACACACAAGGAAAGAAGAAAGAAGGAAGAAACAAACAATTAATCTCTTGTTGAGGGGTTCCCAAAAATTGTGATTTCCCTGCGGCTTCCACTTGAAACCTCCAAAACACCCCATTTCCGGAAGCCGCTCACCGGCCGAGTCGTCGATCCCATGCGGCCTGGCGATCCACATGAAGCCGCAGGCGCAGCAGTTCACCGCCAGGGCGAAGGCGCTGGCCACTGTGCCCTGGGCTCCGGCTGGCCGGTGGATGCCCCTGTTTTTTTTCAGCAAGCAAGGAGGCCCCTCCCCTGGTCAGCCCCTCGGGATAGTTCAAGATACGCTGAATGCCCCTGTTATTTTTTTCAGCAAGCAACCCAACCATAGACCAAGCAAAAAAACATTGGGAATGCAAGCAAACCAACCACTGCCCCGGCCATATGAAGCAAACCAACCACAGGTAGACCCAGCGAAATAAAACAAATTGGGAGTTTACGAGGTGCCCAACTCGTTGCCTACTCGCAACAGTTAGGGCATCCACCTCAGGGTAGAGGGTAGGGTGCGGTAGATGCCCCTGCCATATTGCAAGGGAACTAGGAAGCCCTCCATTTCCCCGTTTAGCATATGGTGTTGAGTATGGTGTACATGCAACATTCAGGGCATCCAACGTATTGTGCAAGGTGGGCAAACAAAGGGGGCAGCAGAAGCTTGTTCAAACACTCGCTTAAAACAAAAAGGCGGTAGGGCAAACAGCAGAGACTTGCTTGCTCTTTCAGGGGCAACGCCCAGACTCCCAGACCCGAGCGGCGCAGCTGGTAGAATTCCGCCCAGGGAAAACCGGATGAAACCGTTTACCAGTCCGCAGCGAGTGTTCCACAGCCCCAGACCAACACTACGTTGACACAGTTCACGAAGATTCCCTTGGACACGCACGGAAAGTGGCCCTCATGACGGGTTGTTGTCTAGCCAGGCTCAAGCACACCTTAAAAATTGCCCCGAGCTTTCTGCCACCGATCATTGGCTTCGGACGAGAGCATCGACACCCTCGGGCTTTCCTTTTGCGAGCCTGCTTCTTCCGTCAGTGGACTTGGTTGGTGTCGAGGTACGGCACGGTGTGTTCGACGCCCTCGCCCCAACCCCCCTGCAAAAAGTCCCGGGACCTGACACGCATTGTGATTTCATGGGAGGTCTCATAGATGTCTCGCGGGCCCTACACCTTGCATGAATCCCATCCCGGACCAATCACATCATCTGGGGTGGCTCCGGTCCCCAAACCCCGCCCCGCCCCAACCCAACCCCCTGACACACCCCCAACCCCCCCACAAACTGCAGCCCCGAAGCCAGGAAGGCGGCGCCCCTCCTGGTGGTGTCGCTGTAGGTGTCCTCAGCCCGGGACTCGAAACAAAAATGGGTTGCGTGAGCGGTCTATATGTTTCTTGCCCCAAGCATTGGGAAATGCTCACTTGGCCAATATTAGCCATTGGAGTTTCTTTTTGACGGATGGCTGATGTTGCCAAGTTGACAAATATGGAAATGATTCTTGTGTGAGGCTGCGAACCCTGTTTGGCCTTGGTTTAAAAGGGAAACCGATCCAATTTGGGTGGTTCCTCTGGAGACCAACCCAAAGTGGTGGCGTGCCTGGGACGATTCGCAAAGGACACCAACGTGAGCAACCACTTGGAGGGGCCTACAATTTGGCATACGGCCAGATAAACATATGCATGAGTTGCTTGTTAAAACATGTCCAACTCGAATCTTTCGAGCAAAAAAACATACGCAGCCACCGGAAACCACGGTGGATATGCTGCCAAATGAGGTCTTGTTTAGTAGGCTACCCCCTGTTGGGGGAACCCAAAAGGAAAACAAACCGCTTCCAACAACAAACTGTCGCACGCCAGCCTTCTGGCTTCCGTTTAGAGGGCCTAAAGGCATGAAAGGAGTAAACTCTTCGTAAGTCCGGTGCGCCCCATGTCCAGTTCAGTTTCTCTCTGGACCCCATCGAGCGGCAATCAGCAGGTAGGCCACATAGACTGTCAGGGCCGCTCCTGCCAAGGGGGTGGTTTTGTACCAAAATTATGCATCTCAAAGTGGGGAACCCTCAAAGAAGGCCGGGGCGTCCTGTTTTTTTTTTCATGACCACCCCAAAAAGGGTACCCTGAAACAAAGACACTCCCCTTTTTTTGGGGTAAACGTTTTGGGCCTGTTTTAAAGGAAAACCAAAGAAAATAGGATCCCCTGATTGAACACATCCTCAGCTTTTGCGCCCCTAGAAAATGTTCGAGCCTGGGAACCTCCAAGACTGGCATGATTTCAAAGAAGACTCCACGAATCATCGTGTCCAGCGCTTCCGATTTCCCCGTTTGGCCGGGTGGTTCCGGCCAAGTTGCAGGCGACCACTCTCACAAAAGAGGCGCTTGGACGCGACTTCGGTGGCCCTTCCTCCTCTTTTGTGCCGCACTTCGGTGGCCCTTCCTACTCTTTTTCGCCGCAGCCGACGGCACCCCGCCTACCCAACTGCCCCGCGCCTAAGATCCAGATGAGGCGGCCGCACCCGTCGAAGAAGGTCATCGACTTGAGGGTCGCCGCGTCCCATCGGAAGGCTTCCTGCCGCGCGCCGGCTGTGGCTCGGCTGCCGGCTGTGGCTCGGCTCAGGGTTGTCCAAATGGCTGTGGCTCAAAAAAAAAAAAAAACCAAGCGCCACCTTGGTCCATGGAGCCAAAGACTACATGTGTAACCCCTGGCTCGGAAAATCTTGAGCCACACCCAAATCGGTGTTGTGGTGGTGTGAGTTTGGGGGAAGCTTCAAACACTCATTCACTTTTGGTGGTCTTGGAACCCAAAAACCCTTTCACTTCAAAAGGGAGGTAAGAATCCCATTTTGAGAACTCCCAGATATGAAGCCTCCGGTTTTGGGCTTGGCGTCCATTCGGAGTCACATCCTGATCCGACCAAAAGCAAAAGCGAACCGGCAAGGGGAAAACGCAGGAACACCAAGAAAGGGCAAAACCAAACTAATTTATATGTCCAGTATTGATAGATTCCCTTCAAAAAGCAAAGATTTGAAGAAAACAAAATGTTCTTCACCAAACGAAGCTTCTACCTTAAACGAAGCCGGACAAAAGCGTTGACAACACAGAAGCGCCTTGAAGAGGCCCATACACACTGTGGAGGCCACTGGCCTCGGGCAGTGGGTGGATTCGTCTCTTTTCGCAGACGGTGCGGGTCTTGGGTGAGGTGAAATCAAGAGGAAAGCACCCATTTTGGGGGGTGGCTTAGAAGGAAACCCAACGGAAGCCATCCGTCCAAAAGCATTTATTTTTGAGCGTGGCCTTTTTGGGTTTGGCTTGAGAAAAAAATCAACAAGGAAGCCATCCATCTTCAGGGCGTTTTCTGAGGATATCCTTTTTGGACTTGGCTCGAGGGCAAATCAAAAAGGAAACCATGCATCTTGCAAGCTTGCTTTTTGAGGCTGGGGATTGTTTTCGGAGGGTACCCTTCGCGGGGTTGGCTTGCGGGGAATCAGAAGGAAGTCATCCATCTTCACGGTGTGCTTTTTTTGAGGGTACCCGTTTTGGGCTTGGCTTGAGGGGAAGTCAAAAGGGAAGCATCCTTGAGAGTTCGCTTTTTGAGGGAACCCTGTCTGGGATTGGCTTGAGTCCTTCTTCAGAGTTTGTGTTTTGAGGGTACCCTATTTGGGGTTGGCAATGGAAACCATCCATCTTAAGGAACTTGTTTGTTGAGGGTCCGCCCTTGGGGTTGGTTTGAGGAAGACCAAAAGGAAACCATCCATCGCAAAGGTTTGTTTTAGCGGGGATTGCTTTTTCAGGGTATCCTTTTTGGTGCTGGCTTGACGGGAAATAACTGTTTCCCAAGAAACATCATCAGGTACCTTGTCGCTGCAGCCGAGCTTGGTCAGCTCGCTGAGATTTGTTCACTCGCCGGACAAAACTTCTGCCTGACGAAGCCAGCGTGCACGATCCCATGCTCCAGGAAGCTTTATGTGCGACCCCATCGCTGTGACACGGGTTGCGGCGCGCGCAAACAATGCCAAAGAAGCGGCGGCACTCAGAAAGCAGGTGGCGCATCGGAAGCAGCTCGTCCGCCAACATCACGTTCCCGAGAGGAACCAAGTGGGGAGAGTGGTCCCATTTTCTCCTGGAAGCTTCCCCGCACCTCCGTCGTAGCCATATACATATGATCGCAAGTGCTGCCGGGCGGGGGGTTTTCGCACTTGTTGGCTTGAGGGATTATCAAGGAAAACACCCATCTTAAGGGTTGGTTTTTGAGGGTATCCTTTTTGGGGTTGGCTTGAGGGGCAAACATGTGGAAACCATCTTTTTTGAGGGCACCCTTTTGAGGATTGGTTTGAGTGGAAATCTCAGGGAAACCAGTCTAAGCTTTCCGAATATTTTGAGATAGACCCAACATGCTGGGTGAAATTAGACTTGATCACTGAAAGCTTTGAAAGCAGCAATATGGTAAGGCACGCTCCAAGGCTCAGCAAAGCTGTGGCTCACATCTCCCGGACATACCAGAGCAACAACCGTCTCGCTCTTGACTTGCCAGCGGACATACCACAACAGCACCCATCTCACTCTTGACTGTTGCAAGGGTCTTTGTGTAGGACTTACCTTAGTTACAAAGCTCTTTCCGTAGAACTTTTACCTTTCTCCTTTAACCCAACCAGAACCTACCACGGCCCCCATGGCCATGGCCAATTTCAGGGCGCAAACAAAAACGACCGAACTGCGGGGGTTTTGGAGAGTCCGAGGCAGCGGGTCAGCGGGTCAGCGGGAGGCCGGGCAGGATGGAGGCCACCGCGAACATGACCAGGAACCCCGGGCCGGTGCCTCGGCTCGGACTTCGAAAAATTCGCACCCGGCCCTGGGCCACACGGAAAAATCGAGAACCTTTGAAAGGGAACATGAAGCGGGGAAAAAGAACGGCGACAAGTGTTTGTTGTTTTGTGTTTGTTAAATTTAAAACAGGCGCAGCCTGGCGGTGGTAAAGAGAAAAACATGGACACCAAGCCAGAATGTCTACCTCCGTGTGTTGATCTCTGAAAGAGGACCCAAGAAAGATGCCGTGAAGATGTTCTTTTGGGATTGGAGTGCCAGCGTGCCAAAGAGCGGGTGGAACATTCTTCCCCCAGCTCAAGACACCTTCATGGACCCCGAGCCTTTTTGCGATCTCCGGATCGGAGCCACAGAAGGCAAACACATCTGTCTTTCGCTTTTCCCCTTGACACAATCGCAAAAGAGGCATGAACCAAAAAGCGCCCACCCCGCATCTAGGGTTGTCTTGAATCAGGGGAACCCTTGCAAAGCTTCTGGGCCTCCACTGGCAAAAAATAAAAGTAGCCCCCTTCGGGCCTCCCCGCACAAAAAAAAACACGGTGCAACAGGACGCGCCAAGTCCCAAAAAACCGCTCACCCGTCTGTGGTGTCGAGGCGCCCAGAAAGCCCTGCTCCGCGCACTTCTCGGCCTCCTCACAGGCCTTCGCCTGCGGACGGAACCCCTAACAACTGGCTGCTTCGATAGGCAGGGAACGATTAAAATGGAAGGCCTCCGGTTCAATTACTTTTTTTGTTTAAAAAATAGTCGCCTGTCGCTTCCTTTTAAGGGAATCTAAAACCGGTTCACTCCCAAAATGTGGGGTCATTCCCTACCTATCAAATGATGGTGGCCGTGTTCCATTCTGAGTTGCAGGACCAACGTGTCGACATGAGCAGAAGTGGAAGTCGGTTTTAACAAGGGGGCCCGTCTTGAATGACACTTGAGAGACCAACAGGACAGCAACTTGGGGTCGCTTTTGGGGAAGAAATCTTGCAAGCAATCGACCATGAAGGCCGTACACGAAAAAGCAAGCCCGAAGCGCACGGCAAAAACCTTCGCACAGTGACAATGGACAACTGTCCCGTCGAACATGCCGTTGCCTTTCGGGAGCTGCAACTGATTGGGTCGTTGTACACTGCACATTCTGAGAGATCCCAAGACGCTACAGTACCAATAGTTTGCCACTTGCTCACGGCTCCCCATACCCTCGTTTGATTTGTGATTGAAGGAAAGGGACACCGCATTTTTGGGTTCCAACTAGGAGACAAACCCATTGGGTAAGGCCCGCCAACGCAAAAAAGCACAAACCCATTGGGTGGTTGAACTATCAGGGGATATCCAAGAGGAACTACACATTTGAAGTTTCCTGTTTGGAGACAAACCCATATTTGGGTGTGTGCGTCAAGCGATTGGAAATGCGCAAAATTCCTTTTGGCTTCCTTTTTAAACCACCTGAAGGGGTACCAACTCAATAAAGCACAACCACATGCCGACAAGCCCGTAGGGGGTGTATTTTTTTTCAGGATTTTGGGGTTTGTGGGGGCAACCGGGAAACCAAACTCCATCTTGGAGGCCCCCGGGCAGCTCGGTTGCTTCGTGCGGAACCCATGGCCTTGGCGTACTCTGCCGCAGCGGTGTCGACACATTTGCTGGACTCAATGCAGTCCTCGTTTCTCGAGCTCTCGGTGCAGGACGCAATGACTTCTCCGGTTCAGGGCAAGTTTGGCACTTTTTGGGAGTTTAGTTGTGCGCTTGGTTGTTTGCTTGGTTGTGTTTGGTTTGGCGGATTGCTTGATTGTTTGTTTGATTGGTTGGTTGTTTGGTTGCTTGACTTTGTTGGTTTGTTTGTTTGTTGGTTGGTGTGTTTGTTTGCTAGTCTCTTTGTTTGTTTGTTTGTTTGCTTGCTTGCTTGTTTGTTTGGTTTGGCGGATTGTTTGATTGTTTGTTTGATTGGTTGGTTGCTCGTTTGCTTGTGTGTTTGGTTGTTTGGTTGTTTGTTTGTTGGTTGGTTTGTTGGTTAGTCTGTTTGTTTGTTTGCTTGGTTTGGCGGATCGCTTGTTTGCTTTTTTGATTGGTTGGTTGTTTGTTTGCTTGTGTGGTTGTTTGCATGATTGTTTGCTTGTTTGTTGGTTGGTTTGTTTGTTTGTCTGGTTCTTTCTTTCTTTATTTCTTTCTTTCTTTCTGTTCTTTCTTTGTTTTGTTTTGTTTTGTTTTGTTTTGTTTGCTTGCTTGTTTGGTTTGGCGGATTGCTTGATCGTTCGTTTGGTTGGTTGGTTGGTTCTTTGATTGCTTGTGTGTTTGGTTGTCTGTTCGTTTGGCTTGTCTGATTGTTTGTTTGGTTGGTTTGGCGGATTGCTTGACCGTTCGCTTGGTTGGTTGTTTGATTGTTTGTGTGTTTGGTTGTCTGTTTGTTGGTTGGTTTGTTTGTTTGTTTGTCTGTTTCTTGCTTTCTTTCTTTCTTGCTTTCTTTCTTTCTTTCTTTCCTTCCTTCCTTCCTTCCTTCCTTCCTTCCTTTCTTTCTTTCTTTCTTTCTTTCTTTCTTTGTTTTGTTTGTTTGTTTGTTTGTTTGTTTGTTTGTTTGTTTGATTGGATTGCCTGATCGTTCGTTTGGTTGGTTGGTTCTTTGATTGCTTGTGTGTTTGGTTGTCTGTTCGTTTGGTTTGTCTGCTTGTTTGGTTGGTTTGGCGGATTGCTTGACCGTTCGTTTGGTTGGTTGGTTGTTTGACTGTTTGTGTGCTTGGTTGTCTGTTTGTTTGTTTGGTTTGTCTGTTTGTTTATTTTTTTGTTTGTTTGGTTGGTTGGTTGGTTGGTTGGCTGCTTACTTGCTTGCTTGGTTGCCTGATTGTTGCTTGCTTGCTTGCTTGCTGCTTGCTTGCTTGCTTGCTTGCTTGCTTGCTTGCTTGCTTGCTTGCTTGCTTGCTTGCCTGCCGGCCTGCTTGCTTGCTTGCTTGCTTGCTTGAATGAATGAACGACGGAATTAATGAATGGATGGATGGATGGATGCGCGGATGAATGAATGAATGTTTGATTGATTGATTGCTTGCTTGCTTGCTTGATTGATTGACTGATTGCTTGACTGATTGCATGTTTGATTGTGTGGTTGATTCTTTGTCTTGTCTTGTCTTGTCTTGTCTTGTCTTGTCCTGTCCTGTCCTGTCCTGTCCTGTCCTGTCTTGTCTTGTCTTGTCTTGTCTTGTCTTGTCTTGTCTTGTCTTGTCTTGTCTTGTCTTGTCTTGTCTTGTCTTGTCTTGTCTTGTCTTGTCTTGTTTGTGTTTGTGTTTGTGTTTGTGTTGTCTTGTTTGTGTTTGTTTGGTTCTTTGATTGTTTGCTTGATTGTTTGTTTGTTTGTGTTTTTGTGTTTGTGTTTTTGTGTTTGTGTGTTTGTTTGTTTGCTTGCTTGCTTGCTTGCTTGCTTGCTTGCTTGCTTGCTTGCTTGCTTGCTTGCTTGCTTGCTTGCTTGTTTGTTTCTTTGTTTGTTTGTTTGTTTGTTTGTTTGTTTGTTTGTTCTGTCTACACTACCCGGCAGATAGATGGCACATTTACGACGTGTATTTTTAGGTAGACGGCACGCGAGGAAATAAAAATATCCCTTGCTCGGTTGGCACATATCTTCAATTATCCGGCAAAATGTGCCATCTACTAGCTCAAAAAAACCGGGGGTCAAAAAAAAATGAGCCATCTATTTTGCAAACATGTCCGCCGACCCCTTTGGCTCTTCTGTGAGTGAGTGAGTCAGTGAGTCAGTGAGTCAGTGAGTCAGTGAGTCAGTGAGTCAGTGAGTCAGTGAGTCAGTGAGTCAGTGAGTCAGTAAGTCAGTGAGTCAGTGAGTCAGTGAGTCAGTGAGTCAGTGAGTCAGTGAGTCAGTGAGTCAGTGAGTCAGTGAGTCAGTGAGTCAGTGAGTCAGTGATGTCTGTGTCTGTGTGACTGTGTGTCTGTGTGTCTGTGTGTCTGTGTGTCTGTGTCTGTGTCTGTGTCTCTGTCTTTCTCTGTCCCTCTCTGTCTGTCTCTGTCTGTCCCTGTCTGTCTCTGGCTGTCTCCGTCTGTCTGTCTCTGTCTGTCTCTGTCTGTCTCTGTCTCTCTCTCTGTCTGTCTCTGTCTGTCTCTGTCTGTCTCCTGTCAGTCTCTGTCTGTCTCTGTCTCTGTCTGTCTGTTTTGGTTGGTTGTTTGATTGATTGTGTTTGTTGTTTGTTTGTGTGGCTGGTTGGTTGGTTGGCTTGGTTTGGTTTGGTGGAATGTTTGCTTGTTTAATTGTTGGTTGCTTCTTTGTTTGTTTGTTTGCTTGTTTGCTTGTGTGCTTGTTTGCTTGTTTGCTCGTTTGCTTGTTTGCTTGTTTGCTTGTTTGCTTGTTTGTTTCGTTGGTTGGTTGGGTTGGGTTGGGTTGGGTTGGGTTGGGTTGGGTTGGGTTGGGTTGGGTTGAATTGAATTGAATTGAATTGAATTGAATTGAATTGAATTGGGTTGGGTGGGTTGGCTGGGTAGTATCCTGTTTATTCTCTACAATGGGCTCAAACCCCAAACCATCAATCTACATCACCAATCAAAAAGTCGGTTCCTTCAAACAACAGGAAAGTAGATTTGCCATTTTGAGGTCAGTGGGAATGAAGATAGATGGATTCTACTTGGTTTGAGGTTGCGTTCTTGCTATCACCCAGCAGAATCCATCTGCTTTCTGCCCAGGGTCCTCCAAAATAGCCTTGTGTAGACCCCAGAAGCAATATGGGACGTGGTCCTTCATTCTTGTGCGATCACCAACCCCGCACGTAGGTGTAGAAACCCCTGGTTTTTGACAGGAAACACTTGAGTCCCCTAGGTTTTTTTTGGAAACATATTCCCCAGGCTGTGGCAGAAGCGGTGAGTCCCAAAGGTGTCGCGCAAAAATGAGCCAGCCCCCCTGTTTTGTTTGTTGCGAGCAAATGAGTGAGTCACCACGTCCCACGCCCCACGCACCCTAAATTCAGACCTCGCAGGGGTTCCTTCTGACTTCTCGCACTGGGAAAATCGCCATCCCCGTCCTGCTCCGCAGTCATTGACCTGCGCTGGAGGCGGCACAGGTCGAAGCACGCCTCGCGGGAGTCGGAGCTTCGGATCGGCCCCAGCGGTTCTCTATTTTGATCGGCTATCCGCTTTTGGCGTCGCAATTTTGGGCAACCGTGGCAAGTACTCATGTGGGGCATAAGCACATACTCCCAAGGTAAGCAGTTCGGTCCATAAAAAAAGGAAATCAAAGGACCCACCCAGTTTCTACCGGAAGTTGGGCAAAAGTAGACTGTGGTTGACTCATCCCCCTTTGCTTGCCCGCATGATGAAGCGCCATCTATTTTCACGGTGTACACCCCATGACACCAGCCATGTTCGGCTGCTTCTGTCAAAATCATGGGCTCGCCCCAAAACGTGCGGCTTTCCTCCTGCTTTTCTTTAAAGCCACCCCAAAATCGGCTTCCCTCTAATTGGTGGTTGGGATTTGGTGGTCGCAAGGAGGGGTTTCCCATGTACACTCAACACGAACCAGAAATTCAAATCCCCAACCACCCATGCAAACCATCAATTTGGGGTTACCTGACAAAAAGTTGTACGAGCCTCAAAACAACCCCCCAACCGCGAGGTACGTGCATCTCGCCTGCCCCTTGCCGTGGCAGGCCACATCGTAGCCCGCCGCGTCCATACAGCCGGTGCCTTACTCGGCACTTCACGAAAACCCATGAACCCTCCTTCGTGGCTGGTTTCAGAGTTGAACATTCTTGGGGGTGGGGCTGGTGACGGGGTGTTTTGGCGAGATTGACGGCGGGGCGCTGGGGGCCACCGGCAGCGATTGATTCACTTGTTTTGGCCAGAACAAGGTTGAACAAACCCAAAACGCCCAATATGTTCCAGTCACCCAACTTCGGAGCTGCCAGGAGAGGACCACCCGCACACCCCAAACTGCATGCCCCCTACTAGATATCCATCCAGTAGCACGCTGCCATCGTGCGTCTGAGCCAGCACCCCAAGAACAGCACCCCCAAACAGCACTCCCAGAGCCCCCAAACAATCCCGAAACAGCACCTGCGCCAGCACGCTAGACTGCATGCCCCCTAGCACCCTACCGTCAATCTTGCAAAAGTACGCCCGCGCAGTGACCTGCATGCCCCCTAGCGCCCAGCCATCAATCTCGCAAGAATGCGCCCGCGCAGTCACCAGCATCTCAAACGGAGCCCCAAACAGCACCCCAAACCAGTGCTCAAACAGCGCCTGCGCGCCCAGCCGTCGACGTCGCAGATCACTTTCCCTTCTTCTAGTAGAAGCTAGAATTTATGTGGCTTTCAGCTATCTGGGGAAATAAATTCAAACAGGGAACCCTGTCCACCTCCTCAGCTTCACATCTGGTCAACTTGGTTGGTCTTTTGTGTCCGTTTCTTGTGTTGGTTGGTTTCTTGTGTGTGTGTGTGTAAGTCTTCCCTTTGGTTGGTTATCTTGTGCTTGCTTTCCCTTTGGATGGCTTCTCGCCTCTCTTTATTCTCTTGTGGCTGGCTTGTGTCGACTGCGTCGGTCGTCCCTGTTTCTCTTGTTGGCTCACCTTCCCACCTGCTAACATGGAAGTGCACAGACCCCTGTAGAAAGACTACTTTCCTCTTGGAATAGGCCTTTTTGCACCTCCATGCTAGTTGGCGGGAGGGTACCTAGCTTTTCGTTGCTCACCCAAAACCAAAAATAAACCCACCCCACCCACCCAAAAAAAATACCCCAAAAACAATCCCACCCCTGGGTTGATTGCTTTTCCCAAAAACAAGTAAGTCCGTACCCCTTCGACAAAAATCGGGGCGCCGCAATGCTCCTTGCAGTTCTTCACCGCAATCACGCTGCCTCGGCGAGGGAGAAAAAAAATACACGTGAAGACTGGCGCCATTTTTTGGGATAGTTTTTGGGGACCCCTCAAAATGAGTATGTGTTCTTAAAAATGGCATGGCGGTCTGGTTCTTTCAAAATTCACCATATGATGTCCCCCTTTTTGATATGGATGGCTTAACCCCACGTCCTTATAGTTTTCCGAGTCTATTACTTCCACGGACACCCATCCAAAACCCAATCTCCATCCATTTCTGGGACCCATCGAATGCCTCCCCCGAGAAGCTCGGACACGGAAGAACCTCGTTTGCGCCCCGCTTGACCCTCAGGTTTTGGACTCCCTGCTTTTGGCCCCTAGCTTCATTTTTTGCCTAGGACCCTTTGTGGGTCGTTTGGACAACCAGTCAGCCTGTCCATGGACCTCACCAAAAAGTGGGGATTGCAAGCCACCCACATGGCCGTGGGTCAAAAGCCATGGTGCACCTACCCCAAAATGGTACCATTGGTTTTGACCAGATATACGAATATCCACCAGCGGCCAGCATCAAGATGCGGGATCTACCGACATGCTCGAGGGGGCTTTGACTTGGAGGTTTGCTTCATTTCAAGGCTCCCCCTTCAACCAGGGCCCTTTTTGTCAAATGCAAGCATTCCTGACTCGGTCCACAAGAACCTCGCCCAAGGGGCTGACTCGCCCAAAACCCATACTGAGGATAAGGAAACCCGGGTCCCACTTAAGGAGAGGAAGGGCATCATCTTCACCAATGGTTGTGGGGAAGGAACCCATGGCTGGTTCAGTTCGGGGTCATTCCCTCCTTCGCTGAGGACCAGCAAGCTACTTAGGTATGCGTCAAAATAAAAACTCGCACCCACAAAGTTGCATCGGTGTTCCTTTTGGTTTCTCATTCAGCCAACCCCAGAAAGTACCCCTCAAGAGAGGACACCAGCTAAAGTCGCATGCCATGTTGGTCTCGTTTTGGAGATGGCTTCCCATTCGCGCCACCGAGCGCCCGCACTCAGGGTGATGCCCACGCAGCAAAGGGACAGCAGCCATAGCACCAGGCCCCCACTGACCTCGAGGCAGGGAAGGCCTACCCGGGGAAACTCACCCTAAAAACCAAAACATTCATTCATTCGCATGCGCACGTTCAGCGGTGCAGAAGTGCAGAGCGGGGTGCGCGAGTCTGTGTGGAGAGCGCCTCGCGCACATCGCTGCCTTGCTTGACGAAGGAATGGACCTTCCACAGCTCCTGCTGATTGGAGACCGCTCTCGGATTTTGGAATTGCGTTGGCGAAGCTCTGCAATGTCTCCATGTCAATGTCCTCAACGGAGGCGCTCTTGAGCTCGCGGAGTTCCTTTCTGATTGTGCACTGAAGATCGGACTTGCGGCATCAACCTGTTGGATCTTGTCCGAGGCAGAAGCTGGAGCAACGCGTCGGACCGCTTGGGAACTGGCATTGTCTGTTGAAATGGTACAGGTTGAGGAAGCGTGGACTTGACTTGATGACATCGCCGCGGGTGCTGGACAGGATGTTTACCGGTGGGGGCACATCAGCGCCTTCACATAAACCTCACACAACAAATCACCTCATGTAAAAATCACACAACAACTGCAATGCATGCAACGCCATGCACTATAGCGTCATTTACACACGAATGTCTGTAGGCCGGTATGCCAGTATGCAATGTATGCATGTATACTCCATCTAGCACAATGGCAGGAACCCCAAGGAACGTTCATGGGACGGTTTGACCCCTAGCTCTCGCTGCTTCTCGGCTTTGGGTAAGATGCCATTGAAACCCCAACAGGAAACTAAAACACAATTGGTGATGCAAAAGGTGACGCTCAAAATGACCTTCACGGGAACTATTCAATCAAAAACAAAAACATACCCCCAGTTACATGAATACCATGAAACCACCCCAAACGGATGCGCGTAGCAAAAGGCTAGGGTGCCCATTGTCCAGCGAAAAACCGCCTCTCCCGGAGCCCCGGCCGTGTAGCTGCAGGGCTCGTTGGCCCGCGGTAGCCAGGCACGGCTCTCTTCCCGCGCCACCCGCATCTCCAAAGCGGCTTTCTTTCGCGCGGACCAAAAGCAAAACAGAAAAGAACGACGAAGTGGCAAACATCAAACCGCAAGCCTCAAATGAAAAGCCCAAAGAGCAAACAGCAAGCCCCAAGTGAAAAGGCCAAAGAGAACCAAGAAGTTGTGGAGGAAATATAAAAAAGCTCATGGGCCTCACATGTATGTTTCTGTTCGGCTCGGCCAAAATGCGGCGCTGCATTTGCTCCGTTTGCGTCAAAACCTAATGAATCCCTCTCGTGCAGCTTGAATGCGTCTCCGTTTGAATCAGATTCCGAAACCTTGGTTGCACTGGTCGCTCATTAGTTGCCCCTTCCAAGACTCATGACAAAGCACGGGGTGTGCTGGTCGCTTTTCTCTTGCCACTTGAGCCCCAATGGCGACCTTGACATGTTATTTCTGCTTAGACCTCGCAGCTGGCCCAAAGGGCCGTGAAACCTGCATCTGGAAAAATCTCGGCCGGGTGTGCACGTCCTTCTCGTTTGCCGCGTAGCCTGGGAGAAAAGAAAACCACCCAGGGCAACTCTACTTGGGTGTGTCTATTGTTGAGGGCTCCTTTGGACTTGTGCAGAGCCCGCTGTGAGAAGACTGAGTTAACAACAACAACAACAACAACAACAACAAAAAGTGCTCAAGAATGCTCGTGAACTTGAGCGAATTACTCAAGTCCCAATAAAACATCGGTGGTTGGCTTCAAGGAAAACCAAGGGGAGCCAGAAAATTCGGGGGCGCCCGAAATCCGACATTGAAGCCACGGTCCTGGGTCCCTGGACGAAACTCTTGAAATAGGTCGGTCCAACTCTAAACTCTAAAAGCCCTTCAAAGTCTGGGGGGGGAAGGGAGGTCTGCTTTTCAGGGGAGCCCCCCCCTCCCAAAACGGTGGGGGTCCTTCTGGTTCCCTTTCAAAACCAGAAACAAAAGGAAGCCTCAAGCCAAGACGGACACAGGGGTATGGTGAATCAAAGCAGAAGCAATGGATGGCATGGGGTTTGGCTTCCTGACGCATCCACCCGGAAGCCTCCATTAGGGGCTTCTTTTTGAGTGGGCAGAGCTCGCGCGGAGCGCTTGCTTGCAGCTTCGGTGGGAATATGGGTGCGCTTTTTGTTGAAAGCAAAGCCCTTTGGGGGTGGGCTTTTAAAGGAAACCAAAGGAAAATACCGAAGACATGTGGGGGGTCCGATTCCTATTTTAAGACACCCCCCCCCCCAAAAAAAAAGAGCCCTATGTTTCCCAAGTCGAAGGTTGAAAGATCCAAGCCAGAGGCTCTATCTAGATTGACTTGATGCTCATGCTTCCGTTGGTCTTAGCTGCCTAAAGGGTCTATGACCACCCAGTGGGCCCAAGTAGGGTCATTTGATTATTGTACATGCTTGCAACTGTAAACATTGCTCACCAGTGGTTCAACTGAGTGATCCTCTTCCCCCGCATGCTGTGGCTGGAAATAGGGACATAAGGTAGTTTTCCAAAAGGGGGGTGCGATTCTGGGTGATAAACTCCTTTTTCCTACCCACCAACACGGCACCTATGGGTTCCCTTTAAGGAGTAGGTCTTCCAAGTACCTTCCTACAAGTGCCTTCTGTTTGCAGGGTAACAGCGCAGGGGGTGCTATTTCCATTAGGCATCAGTATGAGGTGTCTCTCTCTGTCTCTGTGTGTTTGTGTCTCTCTCTATGTGCGTCTCAGTGTCTCCGTGTGTGTGTGTGTGTGTGTGTGTGTGTGTGTGTTCCTTGTTGCTACCTATTTTGGGTTTGCTTTAAATTAAAGGAAAGAAAAAGAGCAAAACACCATCTTGGGGCTCGAATCCCCTACAGTATTTTGACATCGCCCCCACATCGACTGCTCATTGCCCTTGTCCCCGAAGAACGCAAAACAATCCGCACCCAGCGGCGTTCAAATGCTGCGGCGATCTCCTCACTGCTGGGCCTCGGCAAAGTCAAGGGCGGAGCCACGTTCAACGCCCTGGAAACCTACTGGGGAACTCTTAGGTCATCCCGGGTGTTTGCGGGCACTGGTGGGGCTTCTTTTCGTTTCCCTTTCAAACCTCAGGTGGTATCCCAACAGCCGCGCAACCCCTAAATCAGCTGTTGGGGAAAAAAAGGGAGCGGTTTCCTTTCGGACTGATCGAAAAGAAAAGCTGATATTGCAATCTCCAAATCGTATCCCGCTCGAGAGGTAAACCTCGGGCGGGCAGTGGCTTTAACCCACGAAACCCACGTCTCTTTTTTGGTGGTACCTTCTTTTTTGCGGGGGGGTTGGGGAAACCAACTGGAACACCCATCATTTTGGAGGGGGTCCCCTTTTAGACACGTGTGCTGCTCAAATTGGACCTACACCTTGGTTTAAACGAGATCTTGGTCTCCAACAGGCCCCTCAACTGGCCCCTTGGGAGCTTCGGTGACAAGATCGGTCCGAGCTCACCCATTCTTGGCCTGGCAATGCACCATGTGCCTTGACCCCTTTCCTTATTTGTTGACCTGCTGACAGCTGGCCATGGGTCAAAAGCCCGTACCCCCAGTGAACATCCCAATCCCCACTAAAATAGGTTCTAAAATGGGTGGTGCACTGGTGCACCTATCCCAAAATGGGATCCCATTAGTTTTGACCCACAGGCAGTTGACCCTACGGCGATTTTCACCGTGTTCAGTCCGGCGACTTCGGCTGAGAAGTGCCAAGAGGTCACCCAAGGCGTGCCCAAGCCTCGAGAAATCGGCCAGTGATCTCCGCTGCATGAGGTGCCCCCGACAGAACATGTCTGGGGAAGTGCCATTCTTGGCCCAGACCATTCCACTAGAAAGGCTCTTTGAAGGGATCCCTGACTTCTAGTGCGAATCAAAGCCACAGCCATCCGGCCCAAAGAGGCGATAGAAAGCCACAAACAGCTGGGGCTGTCGCCAAACTGGAACCCCAACAAGGGTGGGAACGCCGATTTGGGGGACAGGTTTGGCTTACAGGCTGCTTACAGGGGGTGAACCCCAAAAAGGCTGCCAACTGGCCAACCCCCTTGTCAAACCATACGTTAACAACGCTCTGTTTAGGTGCCCCTTTCATCAAATGGAAGGTGTGATTGGTCACAGATCTTGCCCGATGCAAAGCCTTCCGCGGCTCCGGGCTCTTCATCGCTGCGCAGGACCTGTCGAGGCGCAGATTTGCGAGAGTCCTTCTTGTTGGCAACATGACTTGGGTCCTGGGTATGTCTTTTCAAGGTTTGTCTCCAACGAAAACCCAATGCGTAGTTCCCCTTCCGCTTCCCCTGCCAAAAAAAAGACATGAACACGGAAATGGTTGGAGGAAACGGACTCCGAATCCCCTCATTTTGACACTCCAACGCGACCAAAAGCATTGGGAAACTGGCGGTCTGCGACAAAACTGCACTGGATGAGCGGGATCCCCGAATTGAACGCGCAAGAGAGAGACGAACGCCAACGGAATTCGGAATCGGGTGAGGAAAAACCAACGGGCGTGTCTTTTTGTTGAGGCTTGGTACCCTATTTGGGTGTTTCTTTCTTTTTCTGGAAACCAAAGTGAAGCCATAATTTGGGGGTCCTCTATTGTCAGAACCCATCTGGGTTCCGTGCAACCTCCCAACTTCACAGGAGAACCGAAGAAGCTAATTGAAATCAGCAAAGCAGGTGACTTGCCTTTGCTTTAGCGAATAATTTTCACCCGATGGGTCTCTGTCCACCCGAAGTCGCAAAAGCGAGGGGCTGTGTGAGTCCCGAACAAGACCTGTGCAGATTCTTGAGGGCACTTTTTCGGGGTCAAGAAACTTAACTTGGTCTCCTCTTTTCTTTCTTCTGGGGGGCCTATATTTAGACACTCCCACCTCAGCCAGGTTTTTCTGTGGCCAGTCCCTGCTTCAATTTGTCCCGTCGGAATGTGCCTCTGGGCATGCGGGAGGAAACCGGTTGGATGAGGATCCTTGCAACTGCTGGTGTTGCGCTTTTCCCCAAGTTGGGGGCCCTTCTGCATTGTAGAGAAACGGTTTTCCAAAAGGTTGAAACTGCTAAAGGTCACCAAGAGCCGCCAACTGTCATTGGGGACCGTCAGCTTAAATGAGCGCCACCACTTTCTGCATGAGAACCAACCACCTAAACCCACCAATCGGCGTTTTGGGCCTCGCCCCGACCCCCGGTTCGCCGCTACTGACGTGGACCTCGCCCTTGCGCGAAGAAACGGGCCGCGCCGAAGCGCCTCCTTGGTGACCACTGCGCCCGCCACCAGCTGCCGCTGGACTGCCACGATCCACGGCCCCTGTCGACGGAAAAGCTGCGCAGACCACGCGTGCCACCAAAGCACAGGAGGGCATGGGTCCCACCGAGCTCATTTGGGGGTCATTTGGGGGTCATTTGGGGGTCATTTGGGGGTCATTTGGGAGATTCGTTTTGAGGGCGCATGGTGATTTAGGGGAGGCTATCTGGGTGGGTTTCAAGCCAACCTCCTCCAATACAGAGCACCTTGCACCCAATTTGGTGAAACGTGCTCTCAGCGATGGCTGAGTTGCCAAACTCTGCTTTAGAGTACGATTTGGAACGAGCTTGGGGCGATCCTTGCTTTACTTTCTCCGCGCGCAATGGGGTTCCTCGTTTGGGGAATGAATGTCAATTAGGAACCCTTGGAAAGCATTTAAATTAAAAATATGTTTTATATAGTTATGTCCACGGATCATGATTGAGGGCGCGCCCCGTTCGAACATCAAAGTTCTCGGCCTGCACTGAAGTTAGGTGCGCGCCTCGCCATCGGAGCCAACCTGTCTAAAGAGGAGGCTGTTCTTGGGGAGCCGCCTCGGGCGAGCCGGACGAAAATTGGAAGGTGGTGGTTTTTGTGCTTGCCATTCAAATGGTCCATACCAAAGTGATCAAAGCCGAGAAAACCCAGAAAGTAAAATACTGCCTTTCCCTCTGGGTCGACTCTTGGCCTGAGCTTGGGGGCAAGAGGGGGGGGGCGGTTCGACCCAAAAAAACCCTCGCCCCTTGCCAGCGTCCGGATCCCAGTGACGCCCTTGAAGCACATGGCCGTGTCGCAAAAGAACCCCCGCCGTCGCCTCCAAAAACCGGTTCTTCAAGGACTGAACCAATCCAGGCAGATCTTCAGCCAGGCATCCTTTCAACCGACGTCTGCTTCCTCCCTGTCCCAACCACACCCCCGGATTTTCCGTTCAAAAAGGGGACGGCGGAACGGGCTCGTCAAAACTGGGCCAGCGGCTCGGACTTCAGGAACCTCACGTGGTAGGTGGCTTTGAAGTCCTTGACCAGGGCCGACCTCAGCCTGGCGACCCGCCGCTAGGCTACGAAGCCCATGGTTTGGACCCCAAACGACCCCAAAGGACGCAAGGACCCGTGGCTGATGTCTTCAAAAGGAAAGAAAGCCGATTCCGGAGTCTGAGTCCATCTGGAAGTCAAAAAAATAAAAATCGGGCCAAAAAATGGACCTTCGGACTTTGAAACGCAACTTGGCCCTCGCCAAGCCAGCCGCGCCCCGCTGCGTCGCGACACGGGTTCAGGGCGCCCGCCCGCCTGGGGCCCATCTTGGAGCCCTTGCGCAACGGCCCTGGCAGAGCCGGTTTGAATCGGCCCCAACCGAAGTTCAGGAACCCACTATTAAGGGGCCCGTCATCGTGAACAGAGAGGGAGAGAGAAAGAGAAAGAGAGAGGGAGATAGAGAGAGAGAGAGAGAGAGAGAAAGACTCTGCTTGTTTGTCTGCGCAAATTGCGCTTGGTTCAATGGCGACACAACCAGAACTCAGAACCCCCTTTGGCGCAAAAGGCCTCTACCCTCCCTTCATCAATCGTGAAAGCTGACAGAAGGGTTCTAGAGGACTATGTTCTTTAAAAAAAAAAAAAAAGTCCACTTCCATTTGTTGGAAGGAGGGCATTTGAGGGCACGTCCATGTATTTCAAATCACACAATAAGTCTACTGACCAACCCTGAGCCACACAGTCCCTGGACTGTCCGATTCGATTTGGTTAAATTCCGGGACTCCGCCCCGTCCCCCCCGGCCCCGCCATGGATGCGTGCATTCAGCAGGATGATGCCCATCCTCAGCCGCTTGGCTGCAGCTCGCAGGAAGCCTTTTCCGGACAGGCAGATCAGGGCTGCCGGTGGATGCCCAAAATATAACGAAGGAAGGGAGCAAGGAATGAAGCAGACTTTGAGGAAAGTGAACAGGATGCTGTGGTCCAGTGTGGTTAATTAGTCGACTTGCAGTGTTTAGGGCATCCACCGGCCAAAGGCCCGACAAGGAAAAGTTGGTTGGCCACTGGAAAGGGGACACAAGAGGACATACCAATCTTTTACCCTTGTGATTTGGTCACCATGTGCCCTCCCGGCAGAGCCGTTGCTTGTCTTCACCGGCACTTTTTCGGGGCGGAGAAAAGCTGAAATCCAGTTCAAACAAAAAATGCAAAGATGTGTTCGGTTTTGGGCGCCTCAACCCAAAAAAGGCTAAGATTCACTTCACAGGGGGCAGAGATGTGAAAAAAGCAACGCAGCGGTTCCTGTTCGGCGCAGCTTCGCTCGCGTTTTGGAGACCTCTCCGAAGGGACCTGCAAAGAAATCCATGCTGACAGTCAATTTTGGATGCCTGTTCCTCTGCAATGAACAGTCTCCCTTGAAAAGGGTTTTTTTCCACACTACCAGGGGGGCTGCCTATCCCACAAACAGTGGAAAAGGCAAACCGCGCATTGCCCCATCTGACCGAAAAAAAGTAAAGTCCGAATCGAAAAGGCGGCGGGTATATGGCGATGAAGACAAGGGAAGTACACTGTTGATGGCCATTCTCCTCCGACAGTGCCCAAGCCACAACGCCCACGTGGGGTTCTTCCAAAATGTGATGGGTTTTTTGACGATTCTATGCGCCGAGTCGGTAGCCAGCAAGTGATGAAACCACTGCTGCAATGGATACATGAATGTCAAGGCACATGTAGGCAATCAGCATGCCACGGCATTTCGCCCATGGGCTATAATCTGCAAATTTTGCAATATGTCCAACACCTGAAAGAAGAGTTGGATCCCCAGGTAAAGGATCTTCTTCCCATGCTGAGCTCGTGTTACCCCCCGAAATCGGTGAGCTCGCCACAAGAAATGTATACGAAGAAATGTAATTGCCCACACTCATATCCGGTGCTTGGTCCATCTCAAACCTGGCGCTTGGAAAGGGCTAATCCACCATTGGTGTCCTTTTAGGGCAAATCGATGGTAGATGATGAAAGCACCAGGTCAACCACGAATCGCCATCTATTTGTCTACGAAAAACCCACCAAAAAGAGGACGCCCATGCGAACCACCCACCTCCCTCCACCTCTTTTTCGGGCTCATTTTGCTCGGCTTCCCGGCTGGTCCCCCAGCTCCCGGCTGAGCTCGGCCACGCACTGGAGCTGCTCCTCAGAACCGAAAGGAAACCCAACAACGGGTCCCACGGATGGCCCAAAAGTGCCCCAACTTTTTGGCTTCAAACGGCTGTGGGGCAAAAATGTGTGCCCCAAATGGAACCCTGGTAAATGCAAATAAGGACTCAACCTGCGGCCTTCCAGTGGTTTCATTTTGACCCACCGCCAAAGGGTCCCCGGCCGAATATTGGCAGTTGGCCGAAATTGTCCCCCAACTTCTTGGCTGAACATGGTCCAGACCCAAAAGTAGGTGTGGGAACTCGAAGGAAGTGAGCGGCTTTGTGGCAACGCAGCCCCAAGCTGTTGGGTCTTTGTCAAACCCTCAAGCCCGATACACCCCAAGCGAGACGTTGGACCATGCCACCCCGCGAAAGCCTCGAAAATCAGACTCGAAGCGCCCAAAACCCAAGCTTTGAATCAACCCGCCCCCCTCTCACCCCCCAGAAAACAACTCAGGGAGGTCGTTCAAAACCATACTTGGTTCACCCTCCATCTGGCACCTGACCGGGCCTCCCTTCAAAATCCATCTTCCAGGTGCCCTGAAGGCGCCTTCGGTTTGTGAAAAAGGCCCCTGCCGTTCAATCCGAGCGCCGGCGAATCGGAGGTCGGAGGTCGGAGGGCGCCTGCTGCGGCGCCACCGCCACCAGGCAGTTGCACTTCACCTCAGCCCAAAGTGTTCCCCAAACGAAGCTAGAGGCGAACCTGGAGCTGGCGTCTTTGTGCCCCTTTGAACTGGGCCCTGGCCCCAAACAAACCAGGCACGTGTGCTTTCAGAAAACCCCAGTCTCTTTGGGGCCCAATTTTACAGGCATCCTTGAAACTGCAGGAAAGAAAGAGCTGCAATGTCTAGAAGATCAACCAGCCACTAGTTTCACTCCGTTTTCTATCCAACAGCGGAGACGCTAGGGTCACGAAAGCTCTGCAGATTCGAAGGGCCTGGCCTGGTGAGCTGGATGAAGCTTCCAAAACTTCAGCTTGCTGATAGAAACCGAAGCTGCTCGACTATGTTGACACGCTTTGGAGCACTTTCGCGCGGTTGGGGGATTCTGGGTTTGGTCGGATTCTGACTGTCATTGCGCTGCTTGGCAATGCTGGCTTGAGTTCTCAACGAGCCAGTCAAATAGGGAGAACCCCCCCCGAAGATAAAATAGCTTCCTTTTGAACTTTGAAGCGAGGAAAAAAAAGAAAAAGAAAAAACAAACTGGACGCCTCTTTTCTCGGAAGCCCTCGGCCGGCCTTCTTCACCGTCTCTCTAAACACCGCAGGCATCCCCACCTGGCCGCAGCAGCAGATCTCCCCAGCGTTTCTCAAGAAAGGGGGGTGCCCCTTGTGGATAAGAAGCCAAAAAGGCCATCAACTTGAACTCCCGAACTTCGAGGCAAAAAAACACATGTTCTCTCTCCAGACTGCTTCGGCTTTTGCCCCCTCCCCCCCCAACCCGCAAGAAGATCCCCATATTCAGCGGACTGAAGGGCTCCTAGCAAACCGCCAGAGACCAAAAGGTTCGACTTGGTTCCCCTCTTGAAAGAATCCCGAGCTCATGGTTGGACACCGAAAGCCTACCCGCTGACGCAGCGATTTCATAAGTTCCAAAACAAAATCAGGAACCTCCTTCGAAAAAATGCTCCCGTTGTGCGATCCATCGTTGGTCCACACCACCCCAGCATGATCTCGCCGTCTCCTCAGCCCTCCACGCCCACCCACCCAAATCTCCAAAGAAAGCACGTCTTTCGCAAGGTGCCCTTCCAGTGGCCGAGCTTTGCGCCAAACTTTGCACCCCCTGCGGCGCACGAAGAGTGCGCCCCGCAATTGGCGGGGGTGGGCGGGAGCCGGGAGCCAGGAGCAGGTCGTGTTTCGGGCGCTGAACCCATGCGAGAGAAGACGCTCACTTCATGAGGCTCGAGACCCAGGAATAGTCCTCCTCACGCGCGAACGAGCGGCACCCCAGCGTTTTGTGGCCTTGGGCCTCTGCTTTGGGCCCAAGGTCGCCCGCGCGTTGCCCAAGACTGGCGGGTGCTGGGGACCCAAACAAGGAAGGAGCCTGGAACTATTGGAAGGGAGCGTAAAACCTGCGAAGAAGACCCTCAATTTACTCGCTTCACCCACAAGCATTCAACAACTATCTCTATCTCGGGCCGCGGCGTCGCTTTCTGGAGCTGCCGGCGGCTTGGCGGCTTCCTACAGATCCACACAGAAAACATGCAGCAGACATCGAGCGGAAAACAAAGGCGGAACCGGATCGGAAGGTGACAAATCAACTTCGGATGAGTCCGGAGGACCAGTTTGAGGTTTCAGGGTGAGTTCCTTTTTGGTAAGCAAACAATCGATTTTAGAGGGTTCCTCTAAGTCAGATTAAGAAGTTAAAACATGAATATCTGAACTCGCCTGTCCTTGTCTTTCTTCTCGTCTTCCTCCTCCTCGTCCTCGCCCTCGTCATCCTTGTCATCCTCGTCATCCTTGTCATCCTCGTCATCCTCGTCATCCTTGTCATCCTCATCGTCGTCCTCCACGTCTTCCGCGACTTCCGCTGCGTCATTGGCAGCCTGAAGCGAGCGTGCCAACACTCGTGTCCAACTTGGCCAAATGAATCCCGACTTGGATGCCAGCAAAAAGCAGGCAAACATTGGAAGAACAAGGGTGTCTTCAAAGGGAGATCCTCCTGTACACTCCTCAGGCTCAAGACGGACCCAAAAGCATGCTGCTGTTGGCGACCCCTTTGGAAACTAGCCTGGTGTATTGGCCCAACGTCGATCGATATCCTCCTGATCGATCCATCGTGGCTTGCTGCCATGGTGAAACCTATGGGTCTATTTTGACCAGTGAGCCAGGAGCAATGGAAACTGGGACACCCCTTCCTAGATTTCCACTATTCCAGGGTTGAGGAAAAAACCTTGACAGATTTCTCCATCGTCAAAGCAACCTTTTGGCCCACCTGGAAACAGGACCCTGCAACCAACCTTGCAGCACTCCAAATGGGTATGGGTCAAAATTAAATCACCAAGAAACCGCAGGCTTTTGGTCCTTGGTTCCATTTACCAGGGATCTATTTTGGCTACGCATTTTTGACCCACAGCCAAAAAAACTCCTCATGAGGCGCTTCGCAAGTTCCACAGCGCCTCCCTCCGGCGAGGTTGCGACGTTTATTTGCCCAAAGCCCATATGAACCTTGCCTGGAATTGCCTATGGGTCACACAGAAAGCCCTTGTGGCAGAGAGGTCCGATCTCTGCCCACCCGCGCAAATGCAGAGCCCACCATACACATATATATATATATATATGTATTATATATTTTGAAAATATCATCCCCATCTGCCTCCGGCAACGAAGCGCCCCTTGCCACGCTGCCCTCGCCCGGCGGCGGCAACGCCTTCCGGCGCCAGGTGACCTGAGCGCCGAAACGTGTCGAGAAGCGCCGAATCTCGGAGCTCAAGGTGGATGCGGCGTTAAGAGTTGGTGCCCTCGGGGCTGGTTTAAAGGGAAACTTGAAGGAAACCACACATGTTGGGCCTGTCATATGGTCGTCTTTGTTATGGAGGTACGCTGGTCAAAAATTGCTTAAAGTGAAAGCAAAAGGAAAAACCACCTTTGCGTCCCCTGGTTCGACACATACACACCTGGGTGTTTGGCGGTCCCGCGCACTGGTGGTCCGTTTGGTTGCCAGCCATAAGGGGGTTCACAATTTGACAAACCCCCCATGTGAGAAGTCCCAGTAATAAGGACCAGCAATGAGGAGTAAGATTGCAGCGATCATAGCGTGTGACCATGCAGCTTTGTGCCAGAGATTGGCCGCTCGCCCTTTTGGGGTGGCCTGAACATGGCGTGACCCAGATGGATGCCTTCCAACAGCTCCGAGCATCTCGCTTGCGGGTCTGTTCGCACACCAAGGACTCTCTGTCAAAGGGCTTGCAGTCGCTGCATCCAATTGTTTGTTGGGCTCAGATGTTCTCCCTTTTCCAAAAGAAAGGGGCCATTTTGACATGTAACGAGACAATGTCTAGTTGGTTGAACGAAACTTGACCACTGACTACATTCTCAACGCCTTTTTCGGGTTGCCTAAGGAAAGTGAAAAACTCCTTTGCTTGGAAGGCCCTGCTTCGTGTTCGGGGTGAGGAGGGCAGAGCAGAGCCGGGAGAAGAGCGAGAAGGCGTGAAAAAGGCGAACCCCGTGATGGATCCGAAAAAGGGTACCCTCAAAGGTGAGACACCCAATCACTCGAGTGGAAGGAATAGAACCCCAATGCAGAACTCCTAAAACGAGCAAGCCGGTCTTGCACCTGAAAGGAATCAGAACCCCTCACCACGGTTGCAACGAAATCCCCTCCCAAACATGGTCGATGCTCGTTGTGTCATCTGGGGAGGGCCTTCCTGCCATGGTTTTCTTGGCTCTTGTGGTAAGGAGCTGGTTCTACTGCAGGGTGACACATCCGGGCTCGAAGCCTCCCATTTGTGACGCCGAGCGGCCGTCCGCAGGACCTTGGCTTCAGCCTCACGACGAATGTCCGATCTGAAAAAGCGACGAGGGAAACCACCTGGCGGTTGAGGACCCAGGATTGATTTTGAACAGGGGAGTAAACCGATGTGTGGTCTGCCTCTTGGCTGCTCTTGCAACTGGCTACCCGCGAGCTCGCCAATTCCACGTCCAACCTTTCCTCCGAAAGGCTCTTTGCCTTGAGAATAATGGGACTAGGCATGGAGACTCTCCAATTGACAAGTCTTGGCGCCTATAGATCAACAGGGGACAACACATACAAACTGCTTGATTTGTGAAAAGAAAAAAGAAACAAGTCTGTAAACCAAAAAAGCTTGGGGGGGAGTGGCAGTGCGACCATTCTCGGCTTCCTTCCAATTGGTTTGGAGCCCAGTGGTTTGGACGTTGAAAGCACCTTTCCCACTTGAAGAACCCGTCAAAGTCGCTTTAGAATCCAAAGGCAGCTACTCCGAGCATGCGACCGAATAACTTCCAATTGGAATTTCCTTGGCATGGAAGAACATGGAAACCTGAGTATGTCTGATTGGTTTTCCTTGGAAACCCCCTTTTTTGGATTCGTTCTTGCAGAGTCCTTGAATCAACTTTACAACCTCCGTCGCCGAACTCACGTGGAGACAACGAAAGCGCGCCGGACGTAAATCGCATGGAGCGAAGCCACGGGCGAGTTCGATCTGCGAATCCACCGGAAGGGATCGGCTGGACGAACCGTGGCGCGCCTTGGAGTACGGGAAGTCCTTGTCATACCTCGGTGCAATGCGTCGAGCTCTCGAGCTCGGCGCACGCTGCAAAGCATCCGGCCGCACAACTTTGCTGGTGCGATAAGTAGGGAATGTGGGAATGAACCCAGGGGTCCCGGCAAAGGAAACAACCAATTGGATGGTTTATAAGGTTCGTTCCCTCCTTCCCTGCTGAGCACCAGCAAGAGTTTGAGGGTTCCCCTTTCGGGCTCCAACGGGACACCAGGAAAAAAACAGCTCCCTTAACGGGGTCCCCCCCACACCCCCTATTTTAGCGCGCGCCCATTTTCCCGAGTGAGGTTCCATGCCATTGGATCGGGAGAATGTTCAAAACCCGTTGCTCCACCTTTGTGTGTGTTCTCAAAGGGAAACCAGAGAAAATTCCAGAACGCACTTGACAACGAGCGCGACCCGAGACCCGAGACCCGAGACCCGAGATCCGAGACCCGGGACCCGAGACCCGAGACTCCGAGACCCGAGACCCGAGACCCGAGATCCGAGATCCGAGACCCGAGACCCGAGACCCGAGACCCGAGACTCCGAGACCCGAGACCCGAGACCCGAAACCCCGAGACCCCGAGACCCGAGACCCGAGACCCGAGACTCCGAGACTCCGAGAATCCAAGACCCGAGATAGGACCCGAGACCCAAGACCCAAGACCCGAGACCCGAGAGCGTTCAACACTACCAAACAAAACATGTCCGCACCCGCTTTGCACTGTATCCATGCCAGGCACATGGTAAGAACACCCGTTCAAGTGCACCCGCTTAGCACTGTATCCATGCCAGGCACATGGTAAGAACACCCGTTCAAAGGCACCCGCTTAGCACTGTATCCATGCCAGGCACATGGTAAGAACACCCGTTCAAGTGCACCCGCTTAGCACTGTATCCATGCCAGGCGTATGGTAAGAACACCCGTTCAAGTGCACCCGCTTAGCACTGTATCCATGCCAGGCACATGGTAAGAACACCCGTTCAAGTGCACCCGCTTAGCGCTGTATCCATGCCAGGCACATGGTAAGAACACCCGTTCAAGCGCACCCGCTT